TAGCAAAAAGAAAATGGCGATGCTAAACGGTGGTGACCGCACGAATCGAAAGTTAGTGATATAGATTTTTTATCTTTCCATTGAGAGGCACTCACGTTCATTTAATATCACAGCGAAAGAACGAGTCAGTATTTCTGTCCTGTGACCTAATGCCAAGTTTGATACAATCGAAGGTGTCAGCATTAAGCAATATTCTGATTTCAGCCTTCTGCAGAGGTAAGCAGTTAACGATGAGTTCTTTGAAAAACTTTTTTCTGACAAAGGACATATAAAAATATTTTTTCTTTTTTCAAATTCTAAATGAATAGGTGGATATTGCACCGCACGATAAGATTGTCACACAACAAAAAATATGATGCGGAATAAAGATTCGGCCTAACAACCGACGAAAAAGCTTCGATGAGACGTAAACTTTTCTCATAGCAAAAATGTGGCACATTAACTGTGATCCACAAGGTAGCTTTGTGATTATGCAGGCCTCTACTGTCATCCGAATACTGTCTGACAGTTACCATATTGATTTCAACGTTGAATATAATTCGAATGGAAGAAAAGCCAAATCGATGATGCCTTTTTTCGTTCAAATCACTTAGCTGCAACGGCCCATGGCTTTATTTACACTTGAGATTGAACTTTGAACTTCGAGCTGAGAGTTTATACCGTTGCATCTCAAGGTTATCCGCTTCAAATTTCGAAATAAGCATTAATAATCAGCCATTAATGAATTAAATGTAACCATAACCATCTCGTAGACAAGAAATAGTGACATGATTTAATATCACCTTTATAAAGTGATAACCATTTCCTGTTGGCGTAGTGATTTCGACAACCTGACTCTCTATGAGACTGCGTAGAAGGCCTCTAGTTAGAAGCAAAACAAAACAACGCTCGCTCGTGTGCTCCCCGATGTTTGCCATATCTAAAATAAAGAAGAAAAGTCTTTAATAAACCAAATAACAATGAAAACATATTTGTATTGAAAACTGTAACTGAATAAGGGCGAAGTTTTTCATTTAGGCTAACCGTTGTCGTACAACACTTATATACATATCGGCAACTAGTAACACTGTGTCCTCCTTCGGATCAGCCAAATGGATGGCAAAAAAGTGTCAGCGTTTACAAAGATCTTCCCCAGGATACCCATAAGGCACCTCCTGTTATTGTCATGACTAATTCGACGGCAATGGTTAGCACCATTTCTATGGGCACATATTTCTAAATTAGCACTCAGTTACGAGAAGGCTAAGACGGTGGCAACAGGAAAAAGACCAGCGCAAGGTCCTGAAGTTAATGATGGCAAAGGCTAGACGCTTATTCGCTGCCTAGCTAAATGACATAACAGTAATAATAAAGTCAAGGTCGTAGCGCGAATCCAGGGATTCGTGATAGCTATTATACAAATTGCAGCGACTTGCTCAGTTTGTCTATCTATATATCTACAGACACATTTTGTGCAAGTTTCACTTATCAGATAACGATACAATACAGCACAACGAGTGATCATTGAAAAACTTAGAAAAGCCGGTTTGACCAACTAAATTAACTTATTTACATACAGCTGGGGGGTATTTATCGTATGATATCTTCGTAGTTGCTTTCACAATCTGTAAGCATCATTTTGTTCTGTTGCTATCCGACGACGTTGCTAGATCGTCTCTGTATTTTTAAATACATCTCTTTTTTTTAACGTGATGCTACTGCTAACGACGAAAAAACTTTCCGTTCAAACCTAACGATGTTAAACTCACAGTAATCATTATTGCTACTCTCTTTCGTCTTCCAGAATTACTGCATATAGTCAATGAAATCGAAAATGCTTTCTATTTAGCTCGTAGCGGTAGTCTTCAATAGGCGATACCTTTCGCGTTATTATTGTTATTGATATGTTGACGGGCGTTTATGAAGACCCGAATGGATAACTGCAGCGCAAAAAATAAATTTTGAACGAAAAGAGCCCTATTGCATAGAAGCTACAAATCGTCTATCAAAAGGCCACCTCCTTGTCAGTTCGCCCCGGCTTAGCGCACTATCCGCCATACCAGCTTCGCGCATTTCTTCATGATTGAAGCAGTGCTAAGAAAGAGTATGAATTTGTCAGCTTTGTCTTCCAGTTCGTGCTAGCAGAGAAAATAATGGACGAACACATAACCGACCACACAAGCTGGGCCCAGCCACCAGCTCTTAGCCTCTATTTAGCTGCCAATGCCAGTTTAGACTTGTATACCTGCCCCATCTATCTCGCTCTCACCCCGGCCCCCATGTCCAATTCCAATGTGCTTCAGTAAGGCAGGACTTGTGCAGCATTTGCTTCAGCCACTATTTTTGTTGGCGGTCCTGTTACTGCCGTCATTGCCGGAGCGGCATCCGTTTGCTAGAAGCAGCATAGTTAGAAGCGAAAGAACGGTTGGTTCGTCGACGCTTGATTCAGCACTACAATCATCTCAAATACAGCAGCACAAGCAGAAGCAACCGGGACCGCAATAGCAGCTGGCGTCGGTTCTTTGCCGTCGGCCGCCAAGGTCCTACCTATAGGAATGGCTGAACGGCCGTTTATATAATAGCAGCAAAAGCAGTTCCAGCGGCAACCAAAGCTCTTTTAGCATCAACAGTGGTGGTTACAGCGCTAACCGAAGAAGTGGCAGTAGCAGCAGCAGCAGATGACAGCAGCTGCAACAACAGCCGAAGCAGAAGTAGCCCGAAGGGGCAAGCGGGCGGCCAACATACAACAACAGTCCGGTAGCAGTTGCTAGGAAATAGGCACCTCACCATTCACGCCATGATCGGCATCACCACTAGCGCACCAACTGATGACTCAACCATACGATCAGCTTATTCAAGCAACTAGCCAGCCAGCGCGCGAACTTGTGAGAGAAGCCGGGGGCTGTGGCCCTTCGCAGTTATTACCTTCTGCGGCTGTTGCTTCCACCTGACTACGTAGCGGCACGCAGTCGCTGTTGTGCGAAAGTCTGCTGTAATCGTTGACGTGGCGGTGTTGAGCAGGATATGATAGACAGCAGGTGGCTTAGTAAAGTACTACCTTACCCTATCCTACTTTACTCAACTTCAATGACGAAGCAGCAAAACTGTTGTCGAGAGCCGATCGCACAAGGTGGACAGTGCGGCATGGACGAGCAGCGGAGTCCCTCCTCGCTGAGCGCGGGTTACTATTTGGTGGTCTAGTAAAGCCGCCGTATTTGTGCGTGTTCTGACCCATACGATGAAATCAGTCAGAGTCCTGGTCAGCCTGCTGCCGACTTAAGTTTGGGTGAAATCTGCACATTTATGCTTGTGTCACCCGGACAAATGTAGCGGCGAGCAAACAAACCGAGAGGCAAGAAGCGAACAACACAACTTCAACTTTTTTATTAACACTAGCCATTGACTGATTGACTACTAATAGAACGGCGGTAACGATTAGCAGCAAATGCAACGGTGCTACTACCGCTGGAAGTTACAGCAACTTACCAAAGCAGCGACATCTACTAAAGCAAAAACCTGTTACTAGGGTATAACTATGCTACGTCTCAACTGTGACGGCTGGCGAACAAACGATAGCTAAGTAGTTCATTTCTACTAGAAGCACGAGGAACAACAATGCTTGTCGCTACCTATTGGAACAATACCCCCAAAGAAATAAAAGGAACACGAAAAAGATTCCTGTGCTGTAAAATATAATAATAGCCTAAAAATGCTATTAGTGTTTCGTTGGGAACGGGGGTTGCATTGATTAGCCTCTTCGTAGGAGAGGGGGACGGGGGTGAAACAAACACCAACGTTTACACAGCAAGGGGTCGGACTTCAGCAGTTTTCTTCAGACCAATAGTAAACGGCAGATGCAAGTAAACGTGTGAGACAAAGGCCGCTGCACTCAAGTGACAATAGAAAATTGAACTTGAATCTTTAACATCCTTTTTTTTTTTACTAAACGCTAACGATTATCATTAACGGAAATAAGAAATAGAAAAAACATAGTGATATGCCATGCGAGTTTCTCTCAGCCGTACGACTATTAGGAACATAGTCGCTCCGTCCAAACAGAGACGGTGTTTTAGACACTAACTACGGAAGCTGAACAAATTGTCATACGAGTAACAAGTCCACTACAGTTTCAGTTATTCTTGGACCTTTGTTTTTGTTCATTACATGTGACCAATACTTCTTAACGCGGCTCTGTTGGCCACACCGCGATCGGTGTTCGCCATCCATCGACAGCTAGCAGCACCGTAAACTTTTGATCCAAGACGGAATTTATCTGTGACACGTTTTTGGCTGGAAACGCTGAGTCGCGGCACCGTGCTAGAGGGTCGCCGTATCTAGCATGTTGTGCAGGGTAAAACGCACAGCGGGCTGGATTATCGTCGTCCGAATGGCTATTTCCCGCTCAAACGGGATACCTGCGGCTCACTCACCCATCACTCCTAACGCGGCTATTGGGCGGCTAAACGACACAAGCGAAACGAACGACTGTGTTATCGAACCTTCGCACTTCTAGGACCCTATTTTTTTCTACTAAGATAATCATTCATTTTTTAGTAAAGTGGTTCTATTACAATTCCGTTTCTCCATCAGGGCCGACTATTAGACAGTCATAGCCGGCTTCAAAAATAGAATGCACTGAATGGCCTGGAACATACTTTTGCGTCCCACACATTAGGCAGATATGGAAACTCAACCGTATTTTTTGTCCTAATTGAATAATATCTCTTGCTGTTAAAGGACGACTTGATCTATGCATGTATGCCTTTTTCCGATAAACTGAAACCTGCTAGCTCTCGGGCGTTTTCAACAGCAGTGAGCTCAAAAGAAAGCTAGTATTACTGTTGCCGCTCTTGATTAAAGCAGAACATGAACTTGCCACTCCATACGTTTTTAAGTTCGAGAAATGGATCAAAGCATAACTTCAAATAGGATATAGGTAAAGCTAGTCGATCCCTACTTCCATTTAAGAGGGATCGAAGTGTTTAGCTTTCACCCCCAATGTTTTGCGGCGTTCATCGTACCTGATCGAGATATCGACGTCGTTGAGTGTCATCTCCTTTCTACTGCATCAGCTGCTTTGTTTGCATAGTTTATCCGCTCGGGACTTCTGTTCGCCTGCCACTATCGATTATAGCGTTCCACAACGACAAATTGTAGGTATCCTCAGAGATAAAGACGATGAGGTCGACGCTTCGTATTCGAAAATGGCGCTATCCACATATACGTACACACACACACACACACATATGTGTATATATAATTCGAAACAATGTATTCTGGTTTCCTCGCTTTTATTCCAGCGACAGTTGATGCATAATCTAGCTGGATATAAAATTTGCTTTTCAGCCACAGCGAGCGCTTTCTTCCATTGTATTTGTTCGATTTTGTTGGCTTGGTATTTTATACTATATATATATATATATATATATATATATATACAGACGATGTGGCGCGTGAGGCCCGGCCCTGAAGCACTTCGACACGTTTCACTATTACTTCTATTACTACTGGCTACAACAGTTACGCGGATTGTCTTCGTTCAAAAGTATTCGGCTTCGTTCCATATTACACACAGCGCACAAAGACACCACTGTGGGGTTGGTTAGCATTCTTGAAAATCTCGGAGGATAGATCTAAGCTGTGCTGGTGATGACGGCAGTCGTTTTTGTCGTGGGAGCGCACCACCAGTTCGTCATCTTCTCCTAGATCCACAACGCTGAAGACCGTTGGCTGCACTGATCTATTCTAGGCACCCCATACGATACCGATGCGACGCTGTCAACTTTACGGGCTGCTCTGAACGGAATTCTCGCACGACGAGCTTCACTCGACGCCGCTAGACGGCGCTGTTGTGGCACTGCCGCAACAGCAGCAGTGGCGACAATGACAGCAACGTTAGTCGGAACGGCGACGGCAACAACATCAATTGTTGCAGTTACTGTTTCATTTCTGAAGTTGGTTGCCGCAAGAGCATTAACTTGGCCGCTTATGCTACTCGCCGTGCCGCTCTGTCGTCACGAAGGCCACCGTTGACTCAAAGGCAACAGTAACTATAACTCACAGACACTAGTTCGCCCTTGCTCGTTGACACATGAAAGCGACTAGCCATCGGCAGGTTGATAACACAACAGGGGAAAGGGCACAGACAGGCGAGTGGCGACTCAAGGTTTTACTAACTGAATAGTTGAGCCTACCTACGCTAACGCTGCAGATTTGCAACGCACTACGCAATAAGTCGCCTATCTGTTCCAAATGGCTGCGACGACTGTTTGTAGCTAGATCAGAGGATGATCTATTACAATTGGGGATCTAGCTTCAGTTTCACACAACTCGAATGGCCGATTAACATACCGTCGCACGAGTGACATCATCACAGGGCACTGGATCGAGAATAAGCTACAGGCGCACCTATAGATCGATTCAGACAGACATGATGTTTCCTTTGCTTCTGATTCACACCCCATTTTGCATGTCCAATTTATCAGAGTTACTACTTATCAGGTGGCTAAGAGTTGCGCGTGCTGAGACAGTAGAGAACAGAGATCCAAGTCGTTACTTCACGCTTTTCCCCGTAGACAAGGTATATTCATGATAAAACCAGGGTTACAGTTAAACGCATGTGTCAGCGGAAACGAACACCATGGCATTGCTTTAATCTGATCCTTAGACAATGCTAAACGATAAAACACTGGTAGATAAATAGTGCAGTAAAGCTGAGGATTATTGAGAGGCAGACTGTCAGCGGAAAACGCCAATCGAAGGTATACCCCAATCGCAACATCAAATGAAATATAAGAATTGAAGTAGCACATGACTGTAAATGGTACATTTGTAGTAGAAATAACAGGTAAAACACAATTTTCAACACAAAGTAGATACGATAAACGAAAGTTTAGTAGGCTATTAAGTAGAGACAGAATGAGGATATTCTGAAGAAATGATCCTTGTAGCATTTTCGAAACACAAACAGATCAAACATTTGTCCAGATTCATGTAACAGATTTTTCTCTTTGACCAACAAATACGCATATATATAGTTAGACATCGATCTTCACGCTTGTTGTGATGTTTTTTCAGAGAACTTTATTGACATAGCGCACCGTTGACATTTAAATAGATACGTGCATTACGCTCTGCATAGTCATGGACCGCCATAGACAATTCCGTGTACCAGAATAATATCATTCATATCGTTTAAAGCTCTGCACTAAACCTCTTTAGCGCCTATTATAGACGGCTTTTTAAGTCAGCTAGCTAGATTGGCAGTGAACAATTGAAAAGAGTCTTTTTTTTTTTTGCAAATTACCTTTAGCTACACTCTTTTTCGAAATAATGTAATTTTTTGAAAATTCGCATAAAGTGTTTTGGTAATTTAATGCTCGGGCTTCAAAGAGCCTTTGCTGATTATCTATTATTAATTATGAACTTGGCACAAAACACCTGGATATTTTAGTTTCAATCTCTAATAAATCCATTTAATAAAGCCCGTACAACTGCACCTTGTTGAGGTGCATTTGTCTGTAATTTTTCGAAAACAAATTGCTTAACGATGATGCGAGAGTCGCTGCGATATTGAAAAGTCGCTTTTACAAGACGCTGACAACATTCTGTTCCCTCTTGTATCGTCCCATTACTCTAACTGACTTTTGTTTACGACCATTCGCACGAAGTATCGCTGTTTCTGCGTCCAAATTCCGTTCTGGACTCGAAATACCTTCCGTCAATTATAGCAGACGAAAAACGAGAAAATATCCTTTTTCCACTTGAAGAAGTCGTACATAAAAACGTTACCGAACGTCTTCCCGTATTACATACATCCCCTATTTTCCTAAACAGAAGCATTTGTAAATAAAGCCTTTTATGTTCTATCTCAGGCGGAATTACATATACGTGTAATCGTCTGTGACAAATGAAGCTTCCCGCTATTTTTGACGTAACATCAGCTGGGCGGCTGATCGAACAAAGGGCATATAAACATCTCTATGTGTTTTGTTGCGTATTTACAATGCCATCTGCGGGCTGATTTAAGAAATAGTAGCCCGTCGTTGGACAAGCTGACTAAGCGACGGTAACATATCTAAACGGACAGATTCCTTAACTCACCATTTTACAAACAGATGCATTTCACCATACGAAGACATCAACTTATATAGCTAATATTTACACATTAATTTAGTTCCAGACTGACTTGGAAACTTACGAGAAGGTGAAGAACAATAACGTAAATTGCTGGACATGCTTTCTGCAATAATCTATCGATATGGAGGTGCCACATCTATAGGTACCTTAACTATAGGTATAAATGCCATGTCCATAAAAAATTTCCATTTGTGTTGTCCCAACTCAACTGACATAACATCAGTTGTCTAATAGGCAATATAACAACAAAAAAACTATTTAAGGATTCACGCACGGTACGATTTGTATAGGTTTAGTTCAAGGGAACCGGCTTGCAGGTGAATGAAGCCGCTTCGACCGGGTCGAGTCAATTTACCCTTTGGGGATACTATCACAGCAGACCTGATAATATAACCCAGCAATTAATATAATAATTGCGAATACGAGATTGTTACATACAGTACGCAAGCACTGATTACGAAGTTGTGCCTTGCGAATTGCGGAAGAAGAAACCCTTAACCCAACAAGGAGCTCAAACTCAGCTGATTTTTGTACGAAAATTCAACGCTAGCAGCACTATATACATGTCGAAAGCAGTTAAAAGGCGCCATTTCTGTGAGCGTTGGTAAGTGCGCGTGTGCGAGGTCTCAATAGCTTGATAAATTCGCTGCACAAAAGCAACGCTGAGTGGTTAAGCAGAGTTTGTGAGAGTTAATTAAATCGCTACGATAAAAACACACGTCCATTTCCCGACTAAAATGGATGAAGTAATGATGCAAAAAGATAAACATTCTACCGACCTTAGTACAGATTTAAATATTTTGTAGGTAGCCCAATCTTATTTATTGCGTTTATAAAAATTACTGGCCGTTCAAATCCCTTTAGGCCGGAACTGTAGGCTCACTCTGAAGAAAATCTTCGGCGATTTGGCTCTTCGAAGCGGCTGTCTGGCGGTTCTTAGCATGATCGTTGCAAACACACTAAGTTATATGAAACCAAAATTACTATCTAAGCATCAACGAAGCCCTCCACTTAACGTAGTGCCATACCTTCTAAGCAGTCCTATCGGTTAGAACAATCACCATGGCTATCATTAGTAAACAATCATATTCGCTTCAACATATTCCAATAGGAAAACTAAACGCAGACCCCCCCCCCCCACGTCATCAAGTTACCGAAACACTTCGACAGCGCGACGTTCGAGCCGTCAATCAATGGGTTTGCTCTAAGCATAAGAGAGATTACATATACGTACATGCAACAAATGATAATATTGTGCCTATTGTCGTTTTTTACTTATTAATAAACCGTCGCTAACTAATTAAGCACAATTATTATACCTTTATTTTACCATAGTTAAATCGAAACATAGCCAGGTAGTCTCGAGTACTGCCACGCCTAAAGCAGCGAGATGATGGCCTTCATTCAGACTCACATATCTAGCTTGCTACATATACAGACGATTCAGTGCATATTTCCAATGCAAATACGGGTCGTGTTTTTAGAAAGAGAAAAAAAAACCTGTAACTAAGCGTTCGTTTCCAGTTATCTAAGTATACACTTTTTTTTTTTTTTAACTATTTTTTATTTAGATAGTCAATACAAAGGACACATACCGAGTTTATTTCGGATGATTAACTTGCAAAGTGGTAACTGGTTTAGTGAGTGCCCTCACGCCGTTGTTGAACGTAGATGAATAGTAAAGATTACAGCGGAAACGTCCAATAAAACAAGATTAACCCGTCGGTCATGTTTAGTTCGCCGCCAGCAGTTTCAAATATATTTCATTTTTAGTTGCCAATTTGCTCATTTTTGACCTGCTAATAAATTCAAGCATAGATCACCTTTAGCTACGTTTAAAACAATGGGCATCGACGTACATACGACGTCTTTCATGCTACTGTGAGAGTCAGATAGATTAGTTCAATTACGATGACTTGTGACATTAACGAATGGATGTACACATGTACATTGTAATTATTCGCTATATATATAGGTGGATAGTCCAAGTTAAGGAGTACTGATTTGCAGATAGGCGCGAATTTGAGAATTTTTATTTGCCTGATTCTTAAAATTGTACATAAGGCCAGAATGAATTCTGCATCAACAACTTCACTTAAGCATGTTAAAACTGTTTTCTTTTTTTGAACTCTTTGGGGAATTTTCAAACTCTTAGTATCTAAACCTTACCAAGGATTTTTCAATTTGCTTCATAACAATCTTCCTCAGATTTTTTAAAGTCGCATAAAAGCTGGCATTCGTGTGGAATATCGATTTCAGGTGGAGGCTTGTCCGGTACGGAAAGAATGGAAAATGGCTGGTCTTCGCTCAAACACAAAAAATGACCCACTGTTGCCGGTTATGTTAAACTTTCTATTCTGTTCCAGAAGGAACTGGTTGTTGTATGATATTAGGGGTAGCTGATGAACGTATGACAAACAGCGTTCCAAAGCTTTCGCCAATTTGAACGCGCCACTTACAATATAAAACTAACTTTTCAGCCGTAGATTCGTCCAAGTTACACCGTCTCGGTGCATGTTTAAGAATAGGAGCAAATAGACCAGTAGCACTTACTAAAGCAAGCTGCAAAATCGTTGTAAAGGGTGCCCCCCCCCCCCTCCCGCTTCCCCCCTCTTTATACACCGCGTCTTCATGCCGTATATTTACGATTCGTTTCCAGTTTGTGACAAAGATCCATGCCCAACATACTCGGCAAAGTCGCTGTTGTCCTCGCGTTTACCTACTAATTCATTAACTACCCCCTTTGCCCGGAAACTCCGAAGACCCCTACCTCTGTGGCATCGATGAGTGTATGTCAAATATAAAACAAATAATAGAATTTTTTTTGTATGTATGATAGATAAAATTCAAGATCATTATTATTCCTTTGGAGGGCGCCTAGACCGTATTTCTCTGAGCTATTTTCTCACAGTCGGTGAATGCTCGTGCGTTCTACGAATGTAGAATCCAATGATGTCCTTTCTCGATTGTAGGAACAGGAACGGCTATGAAAATAGCTAATGTAAAAATAATGGCTATAGGTTTTCTTGATGAAGAAGTTATTTTCCCGGGGACAGGTTTCAGTTACGAAAATTTGTCAAAAATGCGAAGCACAAAGGCCTTATGAATACAAACAAATCAGTTAAATTTTTCTAGCCCATTTAATGGCGTGGCCCATTTTATTTGTCATCGCGGTCATCTATTGTGATATCAGCCTATGATAAGCCGGTTGTATGCAGATAGTGTCACATTCGGATTTCACGTTGCTTTAGTGCTTTTCATGCGATGATTACTCTTCTATGTCGTGTCCTGTACAGGTGATCCCTAAGCGAGGTTTCTGTTGCGTGGACCGCAAATGGCGAAGACCCTGCATTTTTTCAAGAAGAGAGGATGCGAAAAAAAGCTGATTTACGTCCATTAAGGTAGCCTGCGTACACCATCGAACCCAATCGGCTTGCCTGTTCCTTCTGCCTTACATAAATTACGTCGATATCACTAAAATGTATTTCGGGGGGTAGTCTGAAGACAACACTGCGAGCTCCACGTGTTACCAGTGAACTGCTGGGGGGATGCTGACCAATTGGAGAGGAGGCCGTCATGCTGGAAACCACATGCCGCTACT